CCCCCCCCCCACTAGAGGGTGCCATCAATCTATATTAGAGTAACTTATTTCTTTGCCTGGTGAATTCTCCTCGCCCCCCCACCCCCTTTTTGTTTTTTTAAATATGCAGACATAGCAGTTGAACGTCAGATGCAGAAAATATAAATTTTTCTCCAATCTCTACCCATCCTACTCCAGCTGGGTGCACCTTTGGGCCTCATCATTACTGTAGAAGCAGCACCCAGAGCTCAGCCAAGGGCATGCTCTTGGCAGTATGTACCTCCCAGTTTCATACTACCTCCCCATGGTATCCTTCCCCTTCCATCCCCTAAGTCTTTCCTGTGGGGGATGGAACAAGAGCCAAGAAGCAATGAAGAGGGGACCTGGATGCTCTTTTTGGTCCTGCTGTTACTCTGCTGTGACCTTGGGGTAAGTCACTTCACTTTGCTGCAGCATTTCACCTACTGTAGAGCACGGTGTATTAGTTTAAAGACCCAAGAAAGCTCATCCATAAGGGGGCTGCATACACATCAATGTAACTGGAGTCTGCCCCTACAGTCCTTACTCATGGAAGTAACTATACATAAGGAGACTGAACTGGTTAACAGCTGAAGAACAAGGGTTCCTTGTCCCAAAAGGAGTATTTAATGCAGAATGCCTTGAAATGAAGCAACCTCTCCCAAGTTTCTCCTTGTTGTGTTCTGCAGATGTTAATGCATCATCCATTTTTCATCCTCGTTCAGGGTGCTCAGTAGCCTTCGTGCTGCTGTTCCACATGACTGTTGAGTGCTGCTGCTGGAAGAGAAGCAAGCATTTGCAAGGGACCAGTTATGTCAACATTTTAAACACCCTCCTCTGTAAAGGAGTTCCCCAGCTGCACTACTCGCATACAAAAGTTATAGGAGCACGGGTTTCATCCCCCACACACAAAGCTTGTGGGCAATAAGCTAAATGCTCCCTTTGCTGTTGGCACTGTTATCTCACCAGAGGCCACTGGAGAAGACCACAGGTGATTTTCAGACTGTGCCAGAGACCTCACCCCCTCTAGGTCTGAGCCTTTCACCCCAGAGCTCCCCTCCCACTTGCAAGCACATCCAGGAGGGGACAGGCATGCAGCCCAGGGACAGCTGCCTCAAGTCAGTCCCCTGCTCACAACTGAGTCAGTTGGGGAGCAAGCCCACTTGCAGCACAGGCATGCTGCCCCCCCAAGACTACAATTCCCAGCATGCCCTGCAGCAGCCTTCCTCCCAGCATGCCCTGCAGCAGCCTGCTGCAATCCATGCTGGGAGCTGTGGTCCTCATGCCATGTGCCTGCTACAGAGAGTGGGCAAACTACCTTTGTTGGCACTGGATTTGGACCCAGCCCCTCTATACCTTTGCTCCAGGTGACCACACCACCTGCCACGTGACAGTAGGCAAATTTATTGATCCAGCACAATGACAGAAAAACAGCAAGGCAAACAATCAATTCTAGCTCTACCAGTCCCGGAGTCCAAGTACATCTTGTCAGGACACAGGCTCCACTGAGACTCTTAGGCATCAGCAGTCTGCAGGTGGGATGCCGAGGCCCAGAGCCCCCCTCCAGCAGCGTGCACGAGACGGCCTGGTGCATGCCCTCGGTCCATGGTGGCCTCTGCAGGGTGTGGATGGGGACCCCTCTTACAGAGCAAGATGGAGGAAGAGAAGGGGGACCTGTAGTTTCTCTCAGGTCTGTTTTTACATTCTCCTTCCCGCTTGATGCCTCTTCATCTGTGGCTCTCTGCTTGGCCATCTCTCTGTGGTCACACGTCCATGTATCCTTCCAGGCCTTCTCCCACTTTGGTCTGTCCCCCCAAAACCAGGACTCAGCGCCCTGCCCCCCACCGCTGCTCTGGGGCCTTGTAGCTGGTGTCACTTATCCAGGCCAGTATGGTACATACTTCCTCAGTTCCCAGGCTGTGTCCTTGTTGCATTAGACAACGCGTCTGCCTTGAAGGCTGGGATCTTGTGTTATGGCATGCCCCCCCTCAACTCCCAGGCTGTGTCCATCCCTTGGCCTTGTGCTAGACACCCCATCTGCTCTTGGGGCGAGGACAGGCTGTGCACGTCAGACCCATGCTTACAAATCAGTTAACCCCTGCTGCCTATCTCAAACTCTTATAATGCATATATCTATACCTATAAGCCAATCCCCCCAAAACAGGCCTCTAAATACCATTTCTAAGCCAACACCTTAAAGTCACATGAGCACCCCAGTTTTGCCGATGGGACTTCAGCAGAGCAAGCAAGGAACAGCAGGGGAAAGCCAGAGGAAGGGGGCAGGGGATGCCCCAATAGTGACCCATGTGTAGTCCCCTCCCCCAGCCCCCTGCACTCTTACCTACTCTTTTTGCAGGATTCGTCCAAGGTGATGCTCTCACAGGTGAGCTCCGCATCCTGGGACGACCCCCTCCCATTCCCATTGGACTCGCAGGCCTCCTTTCCGGGCCCCCCTCTTCAGGGGCTCTTCCTTTTTCTCCTTGGCCCCCTTGCTCCCTGTTGCCGCTTTGGAGGTCAGGACCACGGTAGTCACCCCTTTGCTCTTCAACATGTTGACGAAGGATTTGGGGCAGGCTTTAAAAACATGTCCTTTTTCCCTGCACAAGTTGCAGCGCCAGAGCTCCTTACAGGCCTGGGCCTTGTGGCCTTTTGCTTTGCACAGGGAGCAGACTTGGACAAGGCAGTCCACTGCCAAGTGCCCCTGCGCCCTGCACATGCAGCACAGCTTAGGCAGCCCCCAGGAGGAAACAAAGCCCAGGTGGGCCCTGGATGAAGGTCATGGGCAAGTGCTGGACCTCTGCAGGCTTCCCAGCCATGCCCCAGTGCAGCCCAGGTGTTCCAGGTGCCAGCCCAGATCCCACCTTTGTCTCAGACTTTCTCCACCGCTCCTACTTTCTTGCGGTGCTTTTTTCAGCCAGAGCCGCATCTCCTTTTCCTCTATTTCAGGGGTGATTAGCTGCTTTCTCCTACTGCCTCCCCCAGCAGATCCAGAGAGCTGCAGCTGCAGATCCTTGCTCTCTGCAGTTCTCCTCCCAGGCCCTGAAGGGAGACTCCCACCCATCTTGTGTCTGCTCATCCATGAGCCAATGCAACCTGGCTCCAAAAACATAAAAGCCTACAACTTAGTTTTTCACTTTTGTTGCAAAAAGCTTATCTTTTCTTTTTTTTTTTTTAGCCTATCATATATATACTTTTGCTGAGACGTATACCTGATCCCAAACAGCACTAAAGCCTATAAACCCAAAACACACTCCCCTACAGCTGAGATCCCCTTTCCCCTACAAAAAGAGCATGGCTTTCCCCCGCCACCCCTTTTATATTCCTGCTTC